GATGGCTTTTATCATGTTGAGGTATGTTCCTTCTATTCCGAGGACTTCAAGGGCCTTAAACATAAATGGGTGTTGAACTTTGTCGAAAGCCTTCTCCGCATCTATAAAAATGACTATGTGGTTTTTATTCTTCTGTTGGTTGATGTGATGGATTACATTAATTGATTTTCTGATGTTGAACCATCCTTGTGCTCCTGGGATAAAGCCCAAAAACTACAGTAATTTTACTTTAAAAAATGGGGGGGGGGAGCTAAGTGGAGAGAGCCACCTGTTTCAAGAAGAATGAAGGAAAGAATATTTCTTATTGTGCTTGTGTACATACCTGCCTTTGAGCTACATAGGGTGTGGTATTGATTTTGGATTTTCATTTTGGTGGCTTTCCAGGAATGGACTGACAAGGGGCCTCCTGTAGTTTTTTGGATCTCTGGATTCTACTTCACACAGTCTTTTTTGACGGGTGTCTCTCAGAATTATTCCCGGAAGTATACCATCCCCATTGACCACCTCGGATTTGAATTTGAGGTAGGAATGCTTGGGCCAGTTGAAAGGGGCCACCAGAGAAAGCACCGTTAACCATCTTCTAATGAGTTCAAATATTTGGGTGTATTAAGGCCCACATGCTTCTGAGGTGGAACAAATGCAGTATTTAGTATGACTTAAAGTAGCTCTAAAAGTTGTTCTCAATAGAATCAGAAGATTCCCAAGCCTTTGTCTCTGTGGATCTGAAATCTTTCCATAGAATAACTATGCCACATCATACCAAGAGAAATGAAGCATACTTACATGTTGTCTATTCAACATGGTGAACTCTTCATTTGGCATCAAGTCAAAGGATTTTGGACATTACTCAAGTATCACCCTCTCCACATATGAAAAAAACTATGATAAACTATTATAGAGCATCATAGGATTTTAAGTTCAGAGAGATCCTTTGAGATTATTAATCTAGAGGTTGAAAACTAGTTGCCCTTAGTTTTCAATAAACTAGTTTGAATAAACCTAATTTTATGGGCCTTTCAAGACTTTGTTAAGCCAACATTAAAGCAATAAGAAAACAAAATCACTAGAATAAACATCGGGGGACAGACCAAAACCATTATTTTGATGTTGAAATGACTATATACCTGGATATCCTAAAAGCACACCTTTCAGAATCAATAGCAGAACCTGTAAGGTGACTGGATACTGGCTAAACATGTGAAAGCAATGGCTTTTTCCTATGCTAGCTATAAGAACATAGAAGTAGAAATGGGAAAGCAAAAACCGTTCCACTGAGAATAGCAAATGATTAGAATTTGAATGCTTTTAAATGAAGCTTATATTACCTGGCTCACCATAATCCCCACTACTCTCTGTTCTCCTATAACTGGCTAAATTTCTGTACTTAACTGAAGGAAGTTGAGTTCACCATCTCTGAATTAAGACAGTGGCATTTGGGAGCTGGCTCATCCTAGCTCACCAGCACTAGCTGGAGCTGGTCCTTCCATTGTTGACCTTGGAACTGATGAAAACTATAAACCAACGCTTTATTTCTCCATTCAGAGAACAGTCTGACCAGCATACATCTGAATCTAATCCCTCACTTTGAAGACCCAGGTTCAGAAAGGAGGATTGTACAAAGCCACTAAGCTAATGACGAGTTCAGTCTCCTGACTTCCCCTCAGTGCCGTCTCTATTCCCAGCAGGCCTAAGGGCAACATGTGATGGAGATGAGACCCACTCCCTTGTGCAGGCAGGAGCTTTGCCATAGAGCCCCAGTGTCCTGGGAAAGGCACAAGCTGCAGCCAGCTTGCACCTGCGCAATCTCTTAGTGCTGCCCCATTTAGAAAAGTGGAAGGAAACAGAACTCACAGTTTCTTCTCTTCCAGGTGACCACCCAAGAAGCAGTCATGGAGAATAATCCAAAAGATGGGGCCTACATAAAAGGGCTTTTTTTAGAAGGTGCCCGTTGGGACAGAAAAACAATGCAGATCGAAGAGTCTCTTCCTAAAATCCTCTACGACCCTTTGCCCATCATTTGGCTGAAACCTGGGGAGAGCGCCACATTTACTCATGAGAACATTTACGTGTGTCCGGTCTACAAAACCAGTGCCCGGAGAGGTATCCTCTCTACCACGGGCCACTCCACCAACTATGTTCTCTCCATTGAACTCCCAACAGACAGGCCCCAAAAGCACTGGATAAACCGAGGGGTGGCCTCACTGTGCCAGCTAGATAACTGATGTCATTGTCTCAACCCAGAGAATAAAAGGCATTTTATTCTCAACTAGACCTTAGCTTTCCTTTTTTGAGAGCCACATGGCATGATGGGAGTGGTGTTGGTGATGACAGTTAGATTAATAGTGTGCTTGCTGTGAGACACATATCACAGACTGGCCCTATAAAGAGGTAGTCATCATTTTTATCATCCCAATTTTATGATGGCACGGCTGCAAAAACCATGCCACACAGGAGGTAAGTAATACCCCCCAAATCAGATCGCTACTAAAATATGGGAGTTTGTATTTGAACACAAGCAATGGCACTCTTCAGCCTAGACTTCAGCTTTTTGGCTGGCTTCCCTTATGATTGTTTTGTTCCTATTATTTTGCTCTAACTATCACTGAATTCCAACTGCTTCTTTCTTAGTCTATCCACATGGGCTAACAGCAGGACCTTTCAGAGGTTGAAGGAGGCAATTTATTTTTTAAGGATTTTGATATATTTAAAATGCACTTGGAAAACAACATTATGTGACTGTCACCTCCATTTTAGAGCTGCAGAATCAGAGGCTTAGAAAATAACTAAGTCAAACTTCACAGCTAGTCAGTGCTAGAGCTATTCAAATGGAGATGGAAGGCCCCAAATGGCATCACTTCTGCTAAACTCATGTCAGCAAACCAAGACTTAATACCATACTTAATTGTGGTTTTATGTTCCAGAAGGCAAAGTGGACTTTCCTGGTCAACACTAATGAGGTAATCTGTCTAATGACACCCCAAAGGAGGTGATCCTGCCCGAAGCAATTTCCTCTTCTCTCACCTTCTTTCTGCCTATAAAAGCCTTCTATTTTGTACAGCTTCTGCAGAGCTTGCTAGATGGGAAGCTGCCCGGTTTGTAAATTGCTTAATAAAGCCAATTAGATACTTAAATTTACTTGGCTGATCTTTTATCCACTTTTTACACTGAGTCCAAAAAGCTTCTCTTCTAGCCTACAGAGATGGACTGAAATTTCTGGAAGAACTGTGATAGAATTATATTTGTTGCAGGCCTACTGTATGCCGTGGATTATGCCCAGGCCTTGTATATTCGTGGTGGGTATGAGTATCTTTCCTTTTGCAGATTCAAGGACATTAACTTGCCTAAGATCCCCCAACTCTTACATTGCAGTCAGATTTTGAGCAGAGCTCTTTCTGGTTCTAGAACCCATGCATTTTTTACTGTTATATGCTGCCTCCCTGCCAAGGACTTGGCTATATTGTGATAGAGAATCTTAGAAAAGATGTGTAGCTCCAAAAAACAAAAAAGTCTGAGAAATTTCTAGTTTATCACTGTTTTTCCCAAGGACCAGCTGGAAGATAATCCTGAGGGAGGTAAAAATCAAACAGCAAACTCTTAGACATAGTGTTTTGGCTCTACTGACTTTTTTCAGGGCATTTCATTGACCATAGTTGAGAAAAGACTGAAGACTGAGCATCTTAGTGCTGAAACTTGACTTCTCTGCCTCTTCTCTAGAAGAAATGTCTCAAATGCAGGAAACTGCTAAGAACCAAATGTACATGCTATTTCTTTGTGAAAACATGGAGGTGATCAAATTCTGATTGAGGGCCTGAATTCTTTGGTCAGCAAATCATCTAAGTGATCTAGAGATTAAGTGCAAAAGGGAAATTTTTTAAACCTTGCCAGGGGCAACAGAGACAATCAAGAGGAGCCAGTCTCCTTCAGCTGAAGCAGGTAGCTTAATAGCTACTTTTAAAAAGGAAACCCAGTTTTTTCTAGTAGGGGAAAAAGATCAGAAATGAACATCATTGGCACTGCTGTGTGGTTCTGAAGATCATCAGATGGGAAAATGGTGAGGACCCCAGATCCATGAATCTTGGACTGGTTAGGTACATCACACTGCAAGCTGTAAAGGGTGCTAAGAGAACAGTTGTTTTAATTATAGTTATCTCGTACCAGTTTCAGCAACACAAAACAGAGGCAGGGACGGACTGTCTCATTCCTCAGGGGTCAAGGGACAAAAGTTTTGTAATTAAAAAAGAAACTTTCCTCTACTATGAAAAGAGATATTGCCCAAGATTTGAGGTCATTTTCCATTGAGTCCAATGTGGTAGTTAAATATCTCCCCTGTGAAAGAGCCGTATGTTCTTCAGAAATGCTGGTGAGTTTAGGCTGGGAGTCCTGGGCAGAGCTGGCCAGAGACCAGTGAGAAGCTGCAGTCTTTGCCTTTAAATGGCTCAACAGATAACATCAGACAAAACTGTCACCAAGCTAGTCCTTGTCTTTAAACAGCTAGCTGCTGGGTAAATAATTGTTTGGTCCTGGCTAGCTTTGGGAGAAAATCTCATTGAAGGACTGTGAATAGGTTCTGCTTTTAAAAAACCTAAGATGAAGATTTTATAGGCTGAGAGAGAAACATGGGGAAAAAAGTTGTAATAAAAACACAGGTTACATGGGAGTTTTGGTGGTAAGTTGGCAATTTTGTTTTTGTGCAAAAATATAGGCACCTTACAAAGTGGCGAGGCATATAAAACTCACACTTGGTAAGACTGCTGGCACAGTATGAAAATTAACAACAGCAACTATTTAAGTGAGCTTGGAGGCTGCAAGAACACACTTGCGCATACAACCAGCAGACAGGACATGGCAGGGCTTGCGTTTCCCATGGGAAGTAATGTTGCTTCCCCACCTCAGGTGAAGAGGTTCTTTTTATGCAGCAGGAGCCCTCCAGAGGTTTCACAAGTTGCCGCTAGCTTGCGTCATGGACGTGCACCTGGGCCTTGGCCATGAGCCTGCACTATCCCAACTGCCCTTTGTTTTATATGATTTCGAATATAAGTATTTCCAGTTTGTTCATTTGTCAGTGAAATGACTGTTTGCTTTCTATGTAAGCTCAACACTAGCAATTAGACAGACTTCCAGCTTGGAGGAAGCTGGGTGGGAAAGGTGTTTTCTACACTCAGAAAAAGACGAAAATTGTAGTCACAACCAACTGGGGTTACTTAGCAAGAGACCGTGATGGGGATGCCTCAGTCTAGCACAGCCAGGTTTTCCCCTGACGTAAGAACCAATCACCTTCATGAAGTAGTTGACCAAGTTCACAGGCTACAGGCTCCAGGCCCCATGTTATATGATAAATGCTTAAAAAATAGCTGGGAAATGTTTCCAAAATGAGATCAGATGAAAGGAGTGACTGATACACCAGCAGATTCATGCCTCCTAATTCAAGTTGGGCCAGGGTATGTGCTCATAAATGGTCAGCACATCCAACTTCTCCTTGCCAAAAGCCTATAGATGTATTTGTATTCAATATACACATGCTATTACTCTACTGATACAGTATAATATTGCTTCTCCATGTCTTTGCCCAAACCCTTACCTACTACAAGCAAGAAAATGTATGCTCCTGCTCACAGGATTTGCAATAGAAATAAATGCCTATTTTGATGTAGTGACCAGGAAATCCAAAATCTAGGAATGGGTAGGAATTATCAGCTGCTTCTTGTGAGGGTCACAAGGTGATTTTGGTAAAGAACAGACCAAAATTTTGCCAGGTGTGTCCCTACTGATAACACCCACGCTCTTGTAGGTAAGACAACAATCCTGGTGTACAAGTCACTTGCCGTGGGGACCACATCTTCTGCACACGCCAGGATGTTAGCCCTTTGTATTTCTGTCTACTTGTTCTGTCTGAACATAATTTGTAAGTCAGTTTGGCTCTTGTACTTTCTATTCATGATAAGGTAAAATACAACAAATGCAGTGTTTCAAGCGAGACTTTCAGATCTTAAGTGAGTCAAATAATATCATAGGCATCACGATAAACATTTACATTTAATGAGGATAGGAACTTTTCTGCATATATGTTAGGGGTGAGGCTAGAACTCACCCATGATCAATTCAATGATGAATTCTATTAAGGGGTATTTATCTGGAAATTAGGAGGATGAAAAGATAACAAAGCACACACTTACAAGCAAATTTGTAACCCAAAAAGTTCTGGCAAATGGTAAATTTCTTTGTATCAGCTGGCATGTCTGGCCAAAGGGACCGCCATGAAAAGCTTCATCATCCTCCTGCCTTCCTTCCACAGGCCTTAAGTCTTGTTTCCAAATGATTCTTCAGGGACCTCAGGGTTAATGTGTCTACTTAGCACAAGAGCTTAACAAACCGCAGGATGTGTGAGCACACATCAAGGGGAGGCTTTACGAAGGTATTTGAATTTTTGCCCTTAATCAAGGAGCAGGGTTTTGTCATCCGGTTTGCATTCAAGACTTAACTGGCTCATCATTCTCTGAAATAAATTTTCTTCTGGATTAAGAAACTTCATCATGAGACTTGAGATACACTGGCTTGGAAAGTTTCCTCAGTTTTTCCTGGCTTCGAAGTCCCCGACCTCGTAATGGGGTAAGTCCCATTGGTGGCAGATGAATCTGAATAAGAATAAGAATAATATTAAGAATTATAATCACTGCAGCAGTCTATATTCATTGAGGATTTACTAGGTACCATGCTTTCTGCTACGAGCTAAATCTATACTGACTCTAATCCATCCTTATAATAAATCCATAAGGAATTATTTTAATAATATTCTTAGAGGGGAAAAAGGAGGCTAAAAGTCAAATATCTTGTTCAATATTATATATTAAGTGGTGGTCCAGGGGTTTGAACCCAGATCTGTCTGTTTCTAGAGCTTGGGCCTTATTGCTTGCATGGAGGGAAAAAAAAATAACCACAGATCCCATAGTGGGATGGGAACCCAAAGAATATGAGAAAAAAAAAAAATAAGCACGTGCAAAGATGTTCTGTGTACAATAGAAAAATAGAACAAACCTAAATATCTACTAAGAGTGAGCTGGAACAGTCTTTCAACAGCATGCAAAGCCCAGCATCCCCTATACTTTAAGAAAATGTATGTAGATGAGTATAAGAGGATCATTACCAAATTATTAGGATCATTACCAAATTATTCTATTACCAATGTAATAGAAAATTGCTGTTTGGTAGGCCAACAGTTGAATCTTGGCAGTTTCATTATGGTCCACCTACCGGTTACAGAGGTCCCATCTCTGAGGTAAGAGTATTTGGCAATGCTCACTTTTCAGCTTTTGCTTTCCTTTAAGATCTGAGGTTAGGATTTATTGTTGTTGGTGTTGTTAACAATAAACCTCTCTATAATAAGGAAAGCAAAAATATTTCCATAAAAAAGTCAACTTTCTATGAGGAGAAGTTGTACGAGGAGAGGCCAGGCACCCACTCACATTTTAGTAGGTTGTGATGGGTGGTTGGCATGCAAAAATAGTTTACTTTCAACCTGTTTCCTAGGGTGGTGCTAGATTTTTGCCACGGATACAGGCCTTCTTGGTTAATATTCTGGAAATAGCTGAGTTGACCAGGACAAGAACCCACCACATATTAACTGCAGCCATACTTACTGGCCTTGGGTAAGGAATCTGATAATGCAGTCCGATTTCAATCCTGGCTGTGCATTCATCTATACACTGTTTAATCAGGTCTGTGTCTGTGAGCTATTAAAAGAGAAAAGATGAGGATAATAGCATCTTTCTAATGATACCTAAAGTACAGATACACATTTTCTTAAATTTCTGCAGTTCACCAGTCAGTAAATATTGATCATTTAAAAAATCAAAATAATTCTGAAACAGGCAATACAAACAGATGGTAAAAATAATTCAAAATAATGCAAAGTATATAATGTAAAACAAAGTCTTCCTTTTACTCTTTTCTCCTAGGTCCCCTTCTCAAGGACTAAAAGTATCAGCAGTTTCTTGTTTCTTTCCAGGGGTATTTGATGAATATATAGGCTACATGTATAGTTTTTCATTTTTAAAAAATTAAAAATTGCAATATAAGTTTCAAAAGTGTGTGCCACTAAAAATAAACATAGGTCTCTAAACTAACTTCACCACTAGAAGTACAGTTCTATCATTCCACTGCTCCCTTTGTACTGATTTACCCACCTTCCTCATAACCATGAATTGGTTTTAGAGTCCAAAACAATTTTTGTTTCATTGAGTTCATCTGTTTTTCTCTATGTACCTCATGAGTGAAATAGAGTGTCTTTGCTGTCTGGCTTATTTCATTGAGGATAACACTCACTAGGTCCATCCGTGTTGCTTAAAATAGCAGGATCTCACATATGATTTTTTCTTGAAGATTTATTTCTTTATGCATACAGAACTAGGGTATAAGCCAGAGGTGCAGAAAGGTGAAAGGATTCACCAGAGACAGAGTGGGGAGCAGAACAGGCAGATTGATGAAGTACACTGATGAGGGGGGCAGTGGGTGGGTGAGGAGAGGTCTGTGGGTCAGCTCTGGGGCGGGGATCGAACTCACACAGAAGAGACTGTAGTTCGCTTGCAGTGCTAAGCTTTAGCCCACTGCACCACCAGTGAGGGCCTCCTATATGATTTTATAGCTGATTGGTCCTCCACTGTGGACATGGGTCACATCATCTTCACCCACTCATCAGTGGGTACTAGGCTGTATTCACCTTGGGGCTATTGTAAATGCTGCTGCAGTAAACATGGGGGTGAATAACTCTTGAAATTAGTGTTTTTGTATCTGGGGGGTAGATAGCCAAAGTAGGATCTCTGCAATATGAACTTCTATTTTTAATTTTTTGAGGACTCTCCCTGCTGCTTTCCATTATGGCTGCACTGCTTTCCATCCCCACAAAGGTGTACGCATTCCTTCTCTCCACGTCCTCTCCCACACTTGTTCTTATCTTTTGGATAAGTGCTGTTCTTAGAGGTTTGAGGTGATATCTCATGGAGGCTTTGATTTGCATTTCTCTAAGAAAAGGAGGTGATGGACATCTTTCATGTACCTAGTGGCCAACTGTTTGTCTCCTCTGGAGAAGTGTCTACTCACATCCTCTGCCTGTTTTTTTTAATCAGATTGTTTTGTTTTATGAGTTTTGGGGCTATTTTGGATGTTAATCCCTTGTCAGAAGTATGATGTTGAAATATCTTCTCCCACATAGGACATCTTTTTTTGGGTGCAAGTTTCTTTTGCTGTGTAAAAGCTTCTGGTTTGCTGTTGTCCTGTTTGTATATGTTTGCTTTTGTTCCCTTGCCATTGGAGTTGGATGCCCAAACACATTTTAAAAAAGATTTATTTATACATACAAGAACTGGGGTACAGGCCAAAAGTGCAGGAGTGGGTGGGGGGAGGTGAGAGGATTCACTAGAGAGAGTGGGGAGCAGAACTGGCAGATACATTGAAATCCACTGCTGAGGGGAGCAGTGGGAAAGACAGGTGAGGTCTGCTGGCCCTGTGGGTCACTCCCAGGCCAGGGACGGAACTTGTGTTGCAGTGGCTGTGGACAGCTTCATAGCGCAGGGACTTAACTCCTTGAGCCACCAGGGAGGCCCCTCCTCAAACATATCTTTATAGCTAATGTCAAAAAGCACATGGCCTAAGTTTTTTTTCCGCAAGTATTTTATGGGTTCAGGTCTTACATGTGAGTCTTTTACCCATTTCGAATGAATCTGTGTGCACAGTGTTGCACAGTGGTCTCTGTGTTCCGTTTTTCTCCTGATGCAAATGACAGCTGACTTTGTTCTGCATCTGTTTTTTTTTCACAAACAACTTGAAGCTCCTATATTTATACACTCGAGCTGCCCCATTCTTTTGAACAGGTCCACAAAATTCCAACATAAGGCTATATTAGAATTTGACAGGTCTTCTATTGATGGACGTTTAGGTTATTTACAATCTTTTGACATAAACAATCGATTATAAATCCCTCTAAAATATCCATGATTCATATGCAAATAAGACTAAAAGATAAATTCCTGAAGAGAACTGTTGGCTCAAAGGGTATATGTTCATGCATTTGTAATTCCCACATTTATTCCTTCTAGAATTACTTTCCCTCTGGAGGTCACACAAGTTCATACACCCCAGAGCAAGCTCTACATTATATTCCCATGAGCATCGAACAAGAGTGCTTCTCTCACACCCTCCAGTGTTGGTCAGACTTTAATGTACCCAGTTATTCTAGAAACTGTTCATGAGAAATCCCATAAGTAAGACATTAGAGGGTGATCCACTTCTTATTTTCAACTATAAACTGCCTTTCTCATTCATAGTGGGAAGAAATATTTTTTTGAAAATCCAAAATAGTCAATTTGTGGCTGTTGGTTTCAAATAAGGAAATGAGAAGTTCATTTTTAAAAACAGGTAGAAGAAGGGGAGAAACTGTCATTCTGAGGCTGGGAAATGACTCAACATATGAATCTGCTAAGAATTTGCAAGGGGCCTCAAAGCAGAGCTGGGATTGCATCAGCCCCAGATGACACCAGAGTGAAGTCTAGGTCAGTGTGGCTTGGAAATTCCAAGGGCGTTCCTGCCCTCTGGTACCTCTTAGAGCTGAAGAGAGTTCCAAGAACTGTGATGTACTGAACCACAGCTGGGTCCTTTGGGTCAGAGGCCCAGTTTTCTGACCTCTGTGCTTCTGAGAAGCTGTTGCTGATGTCCACCTTCGGAACAGATTTCCATGCTCCCATTTGCCCATTAGGATTCAAAGCAAGTCATGATTAAGGCTTCCTGCAAGGGAGGTTACAAGATACTACTTATGTCTGCATGAAGGAAAGTGGAAAAAGAAGCCTCTGATAAAGACAATGCTAAGGGGGTTGAGTGATTTTGGGGCTCCAGCAGTCCATCTCAACAAGTCTGGGTTAGAGTTCTCCAAATTCAATCACCCAGAGGCCACCTGCATGATTCTGCCATATCCACACACTCCCTATACTAAACTTTTCTTAAATGACTGTCTTCAAGCAATCTCTTCCAAATATTTATGAAACTGTGCTGTGCTGCTCTATTTTTTCCTAATAGTGAAATAAGTACGTATCTTAAAATTAAAAACCCATTGATCCCACACCCCCACCCACCTCCAACAATCCTTATATTCTCTACTCATCTACTGTCACATTTGCATCAGGCCAACTCAAGCAACGGCCAAGGGAGGGTTGACCATTGCCCTCACGGAATAGCCAAAGGGTCTAGAGCAGTCTGCAGAGGAGTGGGTCCCTCACTGGGCATGCGTTCCTATGATATCCCCAGCACCAGGCTGGGCGCCGCAAGCTACAGCCCTACCTTCAGTTGGGCAGACGTAAACCACAGAAAAGGCGTGGTGGTACACAGGCAACAAGGCAGTGACTGCTGCGGGCTGCTGCACAGGAACGCAGAACAGGGGTCCATCGCGGGCTGGGTGGCTGAGGAACTGTCCTGGAGCCACTTGAAATCAAGCAATTGTGTATCCTCATTCACTTAGTGACACCCAAAAGCAGGGTCTCATAGGGCGTACTAGGAAAGTATAAGGAAGGTATTACGTGCTCACGTGAGCGGCAGCTGGCTGGGAGACCACAGCAACACAGATGAAACTAGAAGAGATGACCGGCTACTGAGGGGTGAGTACAAGCCAATGGTCTCCAAACTCTTTGCTCATCTTCTCCTTTCAATAAAGTTTCTGAGCACACAGGTCCTTTCTATGTATTTACACTGATTTATAAATTAATAAGCTCATCGAATATACTAACCAACTCATTGTAAGTATAAATAAAAGACACTTTTAAAAGAATGCAATACAAATCATAGAGATAGCAGCTGCACTTATTTTATTTCTACTCCTCAGAAGACCGTTCCAAGACTGCAAACCACTGGTGTGGTTTGCAACGTCTTCAGCAGGAGCAAAAAAGATCTGGAGAAACCGGAAGAGGGCCAGGAGGGTGGAAAAACTTCACAAGCAGGTTGGCTTGATAAGACAGATAAGGCTTCAGAGACTGAGTAGGGGCAGTTCTATGGGCTGGGAGGTTTCTGTCGCAGCACTTATGCCAATGCTCACTATACTTCACTGCGTCTAATGTCACATCTCTGAGACACCCCGTTTGGCTCTGCTTGTTTTTCATCCCCACTGGCTAGTCTGGGTGTTCGGTACATGGTGGGCACTCAAATCCTTGCTGAATGAACGCACGAGAGCTCTGGTGACAGGAGCCATGACAGAGCAGGGCCAGTCGGGGAGGCGGCGTTCTTCTGGAAAGATGAGCTTTGCTTTGGCCTGTTCTACTTGGGGAGGTCTTTCAGGAGGCTGGATATTCAGAAATGGAAGCTGGAGCCAAGAGGTGGTAGCTTGCTCCTCAGGCTCAGCACAGAGGGCTGACCTTCAGAGGCCCCTACAGATGGTGGGAGGGTGTACGGAGAAGACAGGGCCAAGACAAGAGACAGACTGCGGTCAGAGTGGAAAAATAAAAGAGGGAAGATTATCAGGGAGTTTCAGGAGCGGAACAGTGACACCATTGAAGCCATGAGGTCAGTGAGGAGGCAAGAAAAGGCAGGAGCTGAAAGCTCTCTCCATGCTAACAGCTCACGCTTTATAGTTTGTCAGGATGGGTCAAACCAAGGCTCTTAGAACTGGGTTTTGGCTCCCTGGGCATGTAGTTCTTTTCCACCAGCTAACGGAGGTACTATTTTACCCAATTTGTGACCCCAAAGGGCAAACTCTCTGCTAGTCAGAGGCTCAAGTTCAAAGTCAACTTATAAAAAGAACCCTGTGTCTGAATGCTCTTCCTCTTCCCCCAATGGGTTTATACTTGGAGACTTTGAACAGTTTCTGAATTGAACAGCACTGAACTGCGCGCTGTCCCCAGGAGTGGCTGGCAGCAGCATGGGAGGACTCACTGGTCCCCTGGAAACTCCCTTGGGCGCCCCTGCCCAGCAGCGGGTGGGAGGGGCTCCTGAGGAGGGCCGCTGAGCCCCCTGTTGGTAGGACTGAGGCCTGAGGTCCATCCTGGGCTCCGCTTTCCAGGGTTGGGCAAACTGGCAGGGCTGTGCCTCTGGCCCCTTCCCGCCCCAGCTCGCAGCTCCGCGGCTCCATTTCAGGGCTTAAATGAATAAAACAAGAAACTGCTCTTCTCCTTGCGCTCTCTTTGGGGGGCCTACTTACATTTTTGTTTTTCTGGAACAATGTTCTGGCTTCATTTAATATGTACTGCTTTTCTTTAATGGTGTCTTCCAACTGCCCTGACGCCGCCTGCCATTTTCTCGCAAGCCTGAAGATTCTGCGGTAGAGGCCAAGGACTTCGTGTCGCGTTGCCGTTGTCATCTTCAGACCCACCGAAATAGAAGAGGGAAAATTTGCATCAAAATTCAATTTGACAGTAGGCAGCTAGGCAGACATACATTTAAGAAACCCAGCTCCTTAATTAGTCTAGAAATAACTGCTCTTTCTCAGTGATCTGCTGGTGGGTGGGGAGGATGCTGCTGTCAGAGCGGCCTGGGGAGATGCCCGCCCCTCACCTGGCCTGGGGCAGCCCCTGGCCGAGGGTAGTTCCACTGTGAGTTTGCAGGACAGTCATTTTTGTGAGCATTTTGTGAACCAAAATTCACCCTTACTGTCCTTTAAAACAGAACATTCTTCACCAGAGTATCTGATCAATACTAATGATTTGCTTTTAGTGCATTACTCCCCTGAATAGCTAGGAGAAGGCACATTTTGGGTAACTGAACTTTCCAGTTAAGTGAGAAGTTGAATTTAATACAGGAGCTGCAAACTCAAGTGTTTCTGGGGCCTGTAGGTAACAAAATGAGGGAGCCTAGCTGGATGGGGATAATGCCCTGGAAGGTGGACCCGGCTGAAAGGGGATAATCGCTGAGTGGCTCCTTCAGGTAGATGAGGCCTAGGAATGTCAGGTGTCTCAATAGTCAACAACAGGAAGCAATCCACATTTTAAAAACACGACTCTCAAGAAAGATACTCATTATTTTTGAAAGTGTGAGTACCACAAAAGGCAAACAAAACGAGTCTTAGGCTCAATTCCATTCAAAGGCTCTGCTAGTTTTTGTGATAACCTTGTTGAAAATATTTCCCCAAATTGCTCGTTACTGCCCTGTCCCTTAAGAATCACCGGTTGAATATAATTGACGATCTTTCTTGAGACTGAAGATCCTGAGGTCCTCTGGTATTTTATCCTGAAACATTAATTTTAATTTCAGAGGATTTGACAAAACAAGAAGGCCTAACTAAGTATATCCCCTAAAGCTAACTATATTTTTAAAAATTAAATTCCTGTCATCTTTAAATTATTTTTATTATACAATTTTTCAGATATATAAAAAGAGAATGTAATAGCCATATAGTCACAAAGGACTTTAAAGAATGTTATTTATATAATATCTACATATTTATACATATCTAACACATACACACATATATAGATAGATACATATATAACACATATACATACATCATATAGTTGAATTCCTAAATATACCTCTTTCAAATCAAATTTCCCTACTTCTGAGAAGGAACCACTATCATGAATTTATCTGTCTGTCTTACATATAACTTCTACAGTATACATAGTATAGTATAGTATTGCTCAGCAAATTTCAAAACTTTATAAAGGTACAGTCATTTTGCAACTTGCTTTTTCTACCCATATTTGTAAGGTCCGTGTTGTTACATGTAGCTCCAGTTCATACTGTATGTTTTACTACATCTTCATCTCCTGTTAGACATTAGGTGTTTTTAATGTATGTAGAAACTTCAGCCTACTTCTTTACAATTTACTTCTATATCTGAGAGAAATGCAAGGAAGATGTGTGTGTGTGTGTGTAGGATTCTGATCACTCCTATTCAGGGATAAGAATACTGCATCATCTCTTATCAATGGGCAGGCTAGGAAGAGGACAGATCTGGCAGCAGGACCAGGCACTGGGACACCTCACTATGAGTCCTGGGCTTTCCGAGAATAAGCTCATCAGGACTGGGAAGTTGGCTGCTCAGTCCTTAGGGAACACACTCCATTTCCAACCCCAGGGGGAAGGCTATCCAAGGAGATAATGTGCTCTAGGGTAGTCCGGAGCTTATGAAAATGTTGGCAGCTAAAGAAAGCAGATGGGAGCTGCAAAGAGGTGCTTTTATTTAGAAATTCTAAGTACATGCCAGGAACTCACCTTACAGAGAATTTCTTTCAAATATGATAGTTCCTCCTACTTATCCTGACCCTGATGACCTTTCTTGAGCAACAAAGAATGAACCAAGGCTTAACTATTTGATGAAAAGCTTGAAAGCATCTCACCCAATGCAAAAGTTGAAGGATTAAAGTTATACCCAATGCCAATTCTCAAGTTCATGATTCTTTACAGAAAAATGCTTAAAAAGAATTAATAAAAACCGAAAGAGGACATCATGCTTTGTGGCTAATCATAATAAAAACCCAGATGAGATGATGGTCTTTTCCTGGTAAGGAAACAGCTCTCTGAGTTTCTGGCTCTCCCTAAAACTCCATGGCTTAGCATGAAAATATGAGTCAGTTCCTGTGAGGGGTAGGGAGTCTGTAACTAACTTCTATTAATGATTGCTTCATTTCCCTGTCACTAGCAGGCCAAACTTCCTTGACTGGATGACACTTGAGGAGCTAGGTGGAGGTCTGGCATATTACAACAGCAGCAACCTTCTGCAAAGCGTGACGTTCAGTGATTTCCTCCTGCTTCTCGGAGAACCACAGTTTCAGACTGCAGCCAATCAAGTACCATATGCTGACAGACAAGCCCTACAATTAGAGTATTCAAGGTAACAAGCAGGACTAACACTGATACTTACTAGAACTATTTTCAAAACACTTGAATGATTCAGTGTTTTGAAAACTAAACCTGAAAGGGACATACATAGGTGATAATCCCCTCGCCTCCATCAGGTGACCCAGAAAACCTACGTCCAAAGATTTCCAGAGAGCAGGGCTTCAAGCAGTGTTCCCCACTGGCACTATTAACAAGTCCAGCCTACCACTTCCTTCTCAGAAAAGAAAAACATTTCTTAGCTCTTAGGGGACTTTTTTCAGTTGAGGCAATCATGTTCTTTATCCACACATCCTGGCTAACTCCCTCTCTCTAGGAGGCTTTTCCTGACTTCTCCTTCTTACCCGACCAACCCCTACTACTCATCCTTTAGTTTCCAATGAAAAAACGGAGGTCTCAGAAATTCCCCCTCCCAGAGTCACATGCACTGGATCAGGTGTCTGTTGACCTTGCATGTCTTCTCTGTAGCACTGTGACCCTAGTGATGGTGCCAGTCTTCCCCTAAGAGATCCTAGCCTGTATGGGGAAAGTGACCTAAAGCAGGTGTCGCCAAAACTTGTTGAGGATGTGATTTTTGATTTTCAAATATTTTCTTAGCTCCATACACCCATGATTCATTGATTCAGATTTTGTAGTGGTAGAGAACTTTCCTTATATATATATGTACTAAAAAATGTTTTAAGCTGGTTCAAAATATAACTAAATAGCTGTAAAACTTGTGATGTGGATGCTGAAAAACATAAGTTTGGGAACTCTAAGGCAGCTCATTGGGTGAGGACCTGGAGATTGTCCAGGCTCAAGCTGGACATTTGGGATGTCTCTTTCCTGCCTGCCATCTACCCCACATAAAAGACACCTGTTTACTCTAAAGCTTTTTCCGGAACACCCTCATCTCTGCTTCTGTCACAGTCATCTACAGCTCTTTGGCAATTGAGTTATATTCTTCTTACCAGTCTCTGAATTCCTAGAGGGCTGACACTGTGTTTGCTCAGTAGAGTAATAATACAAGTAACAGCTACACTTGCATTGCATACGCATTATGTCAGAGGCTTGGCTGGATGCTTTATGTATGTCTTACCCCCCCAGCTCACCAACGGCAATTCTATCAGGTAAAAACGATGACTACACCAGAGTCTTAACAAAGGAGGAAGCGGGGAATGACAAGCATGTGTCGCACCGCTAGTTAGGAGGTGGGGCCAGGATTCCAGCCTTGAAGGGCTGGAGTAAGGGCCGGAGTCCAGTCACTAGATAGCCTGCTGGACCTCGACAGATGGGGTGGATGTCTACTAATTGCCTCAAAGATCTTAACCAGCTGTGACAAAGGGAGTTAAACCTATTCTCTTCCTACAAAGAGCAATAGTCCATCATTTTGGTAACCTGATATGAATTTCAACAACTTTTTTATAAGTTTCCCACATACTGGCGCCTCTCCACCTCCCTTGCTACTGCCCTTCTTCAGTAATTGTCACATGCCAGTGCCACAAGGAGGCTGTGCCCTTGGCAGGACTGTTCACTCCCCTCAGCCATCTGTCCCCAACACTCCAAAGAGAGCTGACATCACAGAAGAAACATCAGGGCTCATCACCACCTTGGCCACACTGGAGGCCTCGCTCTTTCCTTCCAAGCATCTGCTCATCCATTCAACATCTGTGCATGTGGGATGCAGAGGTGGTTCTAGGGACAGTGCTAAATGAGTAGCTGCGGTCAATGTCCTCAAGTTCAGGTTGTAGGGCAGAGGCAGTCAACACACAAGAAAAACACGGGTGGTACATGCTCTTGAGGAACGAAACAGAGGAGGGGATTCTGTTCTTTTGGGTGGCCAGGGACCTCACAGCTTAGTCCCGAATGGTATGGAAGAAGCCTGTTACTGGGAAGATTTAGGGGGAGGTGGCAGAGGGAAGAGCAAGAACAAAGGTCATAAGGTGGGGACTAACTACAATGTCAAAGCAGTGAGAGCCTCGGAGAGGTCAATGCAGGTGGCCAGAAGCCAGCTCGGCTGGATAGGCAGGCCTGGGAAAGAGTTTGGCTCCTAAAGTCATAGTGAAAGGAAGCTATTGGCAGATTTTAAGCAAGGTGGAGCAACCTGGCCTGATGTATCTATTTTAAAATGATGTTTAAAATTTTATCACATCTCTTGATCTACCACTCCTGCAGATTGCAAAAAGTTTCACCTAATGCCACCTAATTGACTGGAATGTTGGAATAAAGGCCAAAAAGTTGGATTATTCCATGAGACCATAGGCTTCCCGTTTTTATTTTGGAGACAGTAATGAGGACTTCCAGTGGGCAGTGACCAATGTCCTAAAATACACCCATGCATCCCCACCTGCCACTTACCCTCCACTGGCCGCTAAGGGTGTAAGTAAGGGTGTAAGCTGGGGGGCTGAGAAGCACCGGGCAGTGTCTCATCTGGGTTTATAGGCCGCCATGGGAGACGGCGGGTGACAGGGGCTTCATCCACGTCACCCTTTTCTCCACCTCTGGCACAGTTTCCCCAGCCTTTGGGCAGCACAGCACAGCCAGGGCATTTAGGAGCTGAAGAGGAAAGATGAAAATTCCCTTTCCTCAGATGAAATTTATAGAAGTATGACTCTGGTCTCTGGAATGTTGAAATTGCAAATGTTGGATTCTCATGAGGCCTTGCTTCCTACTTAAGAAAATGTGTTGCTGTATAAACAAGGGACAGAAAAGGCAAGAATTAACTGACTTTCAAGTCCCAGATGCAAAGAAAGACTTCCTTGCACTCTTCAAGATCTGAACTCAGATGGATCTTTTTTCTCATCACAATCAATGGCTGTGATGCAGTCAAGTTTCTCTCCCAAGTACTTTCATTTGGGGGGAAGGGTGATGGTGATTGTGAAACTCACCCACATGAATCACTGTTTTGTGGATTCACTGCGGATCAAGGGTGGCCTCCCCTTGTCTTGCTGTCTTGACTCCTTAGATCTGGGACCAGCTTTTTGCCAAATGAACATTCCCAACTCATTGCCAAATGTCCATTCTGTACCTAGCTCCTGATTCTCATGCTCTGGTTTCAATCCTATTCCTGGGGTGCCTACCCCACACTGAGATGGGGTCAGCCTCCCTGCTGTGTTACTTGGGCACCTCCAACATACTCCTGTTGTAATGTTCATCCCACTCTGCTGTAATTCTATTTGACTGACTTTTTTTCCTGTACTGTGTCTATCTGGAGAAGGGAGGAGGGAAAGAAGGGCTGTGTCTCATTCATTACACTCTTTATGACTGGGACACATTTGGACACAGAGCTTAAACTCGCTCTGTGAGGACACTACATGCACACACTCAATGGTCACCATCCTTATTGCGAATATAGACGGAGCTCCCTGGAATAGGCTTCCTGACCCCACAAGTGGCATCTGGGTATTAGAAAAAGAACTCGAGACTACTATTTGGAGAGAAGCCTGATCCGTTCCTTCTAGAGAAGGACAAGACACATAGCTACAACATAACCCTCATCCTTAATTTTAGGGTCAGTTAGGGTTTGTTCACTAGATGGAAACAATTTATTGTTTCTGTGAAGCTTAAAACCAAGTAAAGGAAAATAATCTTCTCTTGAGGAATAGGTCCATTACATCCAAATGATGAGGAGTCAAAACCAACTGAGAAAACTGTAAAGCTTTTGTCATTCAGAAAACCTCAACGGAGTTGAAGTGCTTCTCTCATGCCAAAGCAAACAGTTTTCTTGCCCCAGAAAGTAGAGTAGAAAATGAGTGTCCGGTTTCTGACATTCAAAGCTTTTCCACACATGGTGATGTGAAAGTGAATGGGGAGGGCATTACAGTGGTCAGATCTGGGGTTGAATTCTGACTTCGGTCCACTGAAGTCTCCTTTGAGCTTCAGTTTCTTAAAACAAAAAATGGGATAAAAGCAGACACTTCAGCAGAGGTGTAAAATTATCCATAAAATAATGTGCGCAAATCACTTAGCACTGGGAATCCGTGTGGGCAGACTGAATAGGAGGAAGTAAGGAGGGAACAATGAAGTCCCCCTGCAGAGGAGGGAAAAGAAATGTGTGGCCTGGTGGCAAATTCACTGCTTTGTGGTAGTAATGGATTTTTCCTAAACCTGTTTCCCCGATCATTAATAATCCCTGCACAGTGAAGGGCTATTGTTCTTCAGGATGAGCCGGGTGCCCTGCGGAGGCCTGCTTATCTTCAGACCCCAGCGCACACTTACTGGGAATGTGACACCAGTGCCCACACCAAACCGTGCCCAGCTTCCCTTCCTATTTTTCTTTCTTTACCTCTCATTCCTTAATTACCCTTTGGAGCACTTTTCCCCTAGTTCTGTTACACTTCCTACTTTCTGATGTACACCTAGGCCCTACAGGTATCAGTCTTCCCCACCAGAACAACCTTCAAGCTAAGCGGAGCCCCCCTCCCCCATCTCTGCCCTAGTTTCTCCCTCCCCTCCATCAATCAGCACAGCCACAGCCTTACACCCATGCCACGGTAGTTTTGTTTCCTGCCCTGGATTCAGTTCTGGTCACTAGAATCCAAAAAGGGAAGTGTTATGCCACACAGCGTTTTGCAAACCCCAGGATATGCTGGTGTGGTGTACTTAATCATCATACAGCTTTTCTCTGAAACAGCATCTTTTTACTCAGAAAGTGACAAGGCTAAGGTGTGTTAGAAAGAGAGCAGGGAGGGAAGGGGAAACTGTATTTTTAAATAAACTAAAGGAAAAGAAATTAGGTAGGCTCTGTGATGTGGGAAATCTTCAAAACAGGGAAAAACCAAAACTACTGATGTTTGAAAGACTTTTATGCTACCCCAGACACGACCATCTGAGGCAGGTATATTCATTCTGAGTCTGTTAGCACAGGAGCACATTGTATTATACCTATAAGCGGAATGCCAATCAGGCTACAACAACCCAGACAGACAACTGTTTTCCCCTCGGGGTAGAAATACTAAATGGAAACCAAGCTTCTGTCCTTCCATTCAAAAGAAATGTAAGCATCTGTTCCTTATTGGAATATTTAGGGGACAAAGACAAGGTAAGCGTCAGTCAGAGGTGGTAAGAATCAGTTAATAGAAGGAGGAGGAATTGTTGGGGGATGATGGTGTGTGTGTTCACACACATACTGGAAACAGATGAAAACTAGGTCAATGCTTAAAGATCAACTATAGTCATTCCTTCATAACTGCCCAGCCAGGATTTCAACCCTCCACAGAAACTATAAAAGTCAATTTAAATCATTTGGTGGCCAAACATTATGCTTACAGGCAGTATTTTTGTGTTTTACTAGTCTGCAATATTTAGTTTGTCATTGCCAACCTTTAGCTCAAGGAAAAGGGCCTTATTCAAGGCCACTCCACTGGTCAGCGGAGAATCCAAGATGGAAACCCACGCCTTCTGATGCTTTTCCTGATTACTTTCTAGATTTGATGAGACTGCCCCTATCTAGATTGTGGTGGCTGGCAGCAGCTGCAGGGACAAAAGTCCCTTTGTGAGAAGCAGTTAAGTCCATGGTTGAGATCTTCTGAACACCGTTCTCAGCTACTTTGTCCATGTTGAAGCCAACAAGGCACAAAGAAGAAATAGTCCTCCAGGAGTCAGATATATATCAACTGTTAGCCAGCCTGATGAGTCCGACTTGCTATAATGGACACAAGTTACCTGTACAGAATTACTGGCAGCTGGGAGAGGAAGGGAGGGAGATGAGCCAGGTCTGAAGAGGGTGAATAGAAGGTAGCCAGTGAGTGGATGAGTCTTACTGATTATTAGAGTGGGTCCCATTATTCCAGGATGTTAAAGGGGCCTCCTCTTGTCTTTAAGGCCTTGATATGCCAAGGGTCTTTGGCTTCTTCTCTGAGTAATATCAAAATGTAGAGGGCCCCTGTGTTTTGGGGGCTTTCATCTTTATCTATCTACAAATTCTTAGGTGACCTAGGACTAACCCTCTCCATTTATTATCTCAGTGACTTCCCCTCTGAAGTGCAAACCTCTAACTTCCATGTGTTAATAGACTTTTCAAGCCCAACATGTTCAAAAGAGAACCCAAGGTTTTCCTTCAGTCATCCTGGGCGTCTCCCTCTCTCAGACACTTCACATCCAAATCAGCAGCAAGTGTTGAAAGTTCTACCTCCAAAAGACATTCTTAATCTAATTCTTTCCATTTCCACTGCGACTGCTGTCAACACTACCCTCTGCTCTCCCTTGGCCAGACTGCCTCAAGCCTTTTCGAGTTAGGAGCTAAGAGTGAGTTCTTGAAAATGTCTATCAGGTCAGGTGGCTTCCCTTCTTAAAACCCTCAGGTAACAGAAATCAAACCCTTACCTTGAGCTAAAAGGTTTTGCATGATCAGGCCAGCCAGTTCTCCATCACAGACCACTCTGCCCTGGTCTTTTCAGCTCCAGCTTCCTCGCTGTTAAGCTTCCTCAGAACCCTCCCGTTGGTTCTTCTCTCCACCTAGAAAGCTTGTTTTCTGGCTTCACTCTGTTCTCAGATCTCTGCAAAACCTGGCCTTTTGGGAATGGTCTTACCAGAATTGGCGAGGCCCTCCCCTGCCTTCTACCACTTCACTCAGGACTATTCTCTGGGGCCTTTGGCCCTTACAGCTCTTTCCCTGACTCCTGTGGACTCGAGTAAAGTCACTGAGCAAGTTCTTGGTCTTGTTCTCAAGTATGTGGACCTGGGGATTCAGGACCCTGGTTCCCACCGTGCCAGGAAAGCTCCATTCCTGCATGGGGCCTCCTTTGGGTCAACCTTCGCGGTTGGATGCCTCTCGCCCCGGAATTGCCCCTTCCAAGCTCCCCTTTACATTCAGGAATACAAAGGATTCAGAAGTCTCAGAGGGGCCCCGAACCGGCAGGTCAGCGCCCCCCAAATACGCCACCCCTTCATCCTCGGGCGGCTTCCCTTGGCCACTGGCGATGACACCGAGTCGCCCTCGCGAGGCTGGGGTCACACTAGCGCGTCTCCTAGCAACGCCGCACCCCCACCCCATCCCTGCCCCTGGGGAGCCAACCCCTTTCCCCAGTCTCCGCGCCAGGAGTCAGCGTCTCCATCCCCTACACTCACTCTGCGTCAGTTCTGCCTTCCCCCACCCACAGAAGCGCCGCAGCCCCTGGCGGGCTCCGAGGACGCGGCGCCGGGAGCCTAGCAGAGCGGCGGCGACGAGCTCCGGTGGGTCGGTAGGCCCGGCCGGACCCAACCACTGGGCGGAGCGACTGGGAGCATTAGCCCCAGGTCTGAGGTAGTCTCGAGGCTCCCTTTCACTTCACGCTCGGCCCACCCCGCGCCGTCCACCCAACAAAGCAGCCGGCGTCGCCCACTCCGATCGCCCTCTGCCCGCTTCTCTCTCCTCTCCCCTTCCCCGCCTCCCACAGTGGTCTAGTCCAGCGCCTCCTCGCCCGCCCTCCCCTTCGCTCGGTCTTTGCCCTTACTTGGCGACGGCTTCGCACGTCTGCACGTACGGCGTGACGCAATCTTCCACTCGGCCCCGGCCCCCGCTTGCCCCCACTCCCGGGGAGGGCGGCCCGCGGGGTTACCGGAAGTGATGAGGCAGGCGGCGATGGGAGGGCGGGGCTTCGGCGCGGTCGCCGCCGGTGGGCCGCAGATGAAGAGGCGGCGGCGGCAGTGGTGGAAGAAGAGGCGGCGGCGGCGGGGGTAGGGAGCCTGGGAACGCGAACGGGGATGGTAGGTGATTTGGACCCGCCGGGCCGCCGTCGTTTCCAGAGCGGGTTTGACTGGAGGAACCTCTGGAGCAGCTGTGAGTTTGGGGGGGTGGGGTGGTTTGAGGAATAGGGGGGGGTATTGAGATGAGGGGCGGGGGTTGGGTACCTTCGAGAAAGGGGGGTGTGGAAGGGGAGGAGTGGAAACCAGCGCCTTGTCTGGACTGGTCGCTCTGGAGGAGACTGTGAGGGGAGTCTGTGGCGTGTCAGCCGCAGGGCTCAGAAAACTTACCTACTGTGTCTGCCTCCCACCGCCAGCACCCCACAACCCAGGGGCCGCGGGCCGGAGCTGCCCTGGGCGAGGCGCAGACTCTGGTCCTATGCCCCAGGTAGTCGCTGTGAGGTAGGAGCCCGAGCGGGAGGTGGTGGGTGAATCTCCAACTCCCTCCGCCCTCATTTCCTCCCCACCCCCATCTTTCTTTTTAATCATTAACATCCCTGGAATTAAGGGGCTTAGACCTGAGGGCCTTTCTGGGCACCTCTGCTATAAACGATAACCATCTGTGCCTGAGGTAATGGGGGCTGGAGGCTTTGCCTGTATCCTGTGTAGGAAGTGGGACGGGGTCACAAATGCATTGTTTTTTTTTCTACCCCCCCTCAGCCCTCATTCCCTCCCCTGCACACCCCTCGATTCCAATTTAGTTTTTCGTGGCGAGGTGGCAGTCGTGGGGGGTGGGGGGGTATACGTGCGAGCTTTTCCCCCTTTTTATGGCACTTGGTACCTGGGTTACCTCTTTTGAATTTGGTGTTCAGCCTCTATCCCAGATCTTCACTGCCAGCTTTGCACTAGTTCAGGGATACATTGGGGAGTACCTCTCCTTGCCTGGCGTGAGATGAGCGTTTCCTTTTCTCCTGTGAATGCTGGAATCCCCAAGCCCTTACAAGGATTCCTAAATGGCATCATAGCCCGGGAATCAAGGTCTCTTACTTCAAGTGTGAGGAATTTACATGTTGTCAACTCTTTTCAAAATGATTTGATGTTAGGCTAATTCTGGATTTCTATGTTTCTCTCCACCCACACTTCACGATGCACTTCAGAGAACAGAAAACCCCCTATTACTTTTTTGTTTCTACAATTGGACAATAGCTCTCTTATCCTTTTCTGCATTTGTGTGTCTGGCACACAAGTCTTCAGTGACACATTCAGCTTGTGCTGATTTCCATCTTATTTATTTAGCTGATTCTTTGTGTTTAGGTGGTCTTATGTGTGTAGTTTTCGTTCACAAGAAGAATACAAAGCAATAAAGGATGTGAAAAGATTATTTGATGAAAGCAAAGAATGATTGGGAAAAAGGTGTCTTTCTTCATGTTCTGTTGGTTCAAAAAAATCGAGTAGTGCTCTTTTCGTCTGTCAGGGATTTCAGAGTGAAGTGTAATGATTCCTATTTTGGTGCTGGTATTTTCTTTGAAAATTCTCTGTTGAATCTGGAACTGTTTTCTGAAGAACTTTTAAGAGGGCCGAAACTTTAGGGATCCTACATAAATCCTGTTCCTTTGTAACTGAGTTTGTATGCATATTGCAAAAATAAGTATAACGGTTCTCATCCTACTCAGGGCTTCAGGACAAAAAAAAAATACATTACTTTGATTGTGCAAGTAACAGCTTGTTTAGGTGTTTCATAGAAAAAGCAACAAAAGAATATCTACTGTGCTCACCTTAATTGATTTGAAACCTAGTCTGCCATTGAATAAAAAACCCAAAATTCATTCAGTTAACAAGCTGTTATTGACCGGCCTACTAAAGGCAATCCAGTGTTTCACATGTACAAAGGTGAATGCTAGCAAAAGGTCTGAACTTTGAATGTCGCTTATGTCAAGTGAGGGGAGAGTGGAGACAAATAATAGCAAATCAATTAGGCTTTGATAAGTACTGACGAAGACAGGAGTGATGTGATAGAAAGTGTTTGACTGGGATGCAGTCAAGAAAGAACATTCTGAGGTGGTGACACTTTGGAGCCTAGCAAAGACAGGGAAGGATCCTTCCTTGTTTAGGGACACAGCTAATGCAGAAACAGACTGAAGTGAGTTTTGCAAGTTTCAGGGACTGGGAATAAAGAGGTGTGGTGAATACGGACAACTGGCGGGTGTGGGGGGGGGAGGATGGAGAAGGGGAGACTAATAACCAGAACCCACTGAGCAAAGGGGATTGAAAAGAGGTAAAGAGAGGTAGAGGCCAGACTCAGAATAGAACAAAGAAATAACTAGAAGGAGAAAGAAAGAGAAAGTGATGCTCTTTTTTGACTAATTCTGTTGCCTTTCGTAGGCTCTGTTGGACTGTAGTAATAATAATAAAAATAAATAAAGCTTCCTGATGAAATTGGGCAAGGAGACTGTGGTCACCTGGGTGTTTTCTGGCAGGTACATTTCAAGCTGTGTGTTCACAATACAGAGGCGTATTCAATTGAGGGCACGCCTTTTCCCTTACAAGATTTGCCTTGTATGTTGCTATTTTAAATTGCATAATAAGCACCTTGACTGTTTTCTAGTATAGGAATCCTTCTTTGCTTCCAGCTGTGTGAGTTTAGGGTTGAAGGTTGGGCAAGTGACGATAATATGCCCCCTGTGGTCTACAGAGATGACCATCAGGACCTGGGTTTGAAGTTGCTTTTGGGAGATAGGATTTATGTTGTAATGTTTCTACTCTTGTTGGACCTGATGACTAATAGTGCCCAGCTAAGTTGTAGGTTGGTGCTGAAAGTTCACTCAGTGGCTTACAATAGATAAATGACCTGGTGGGCCCAGCCCCACTGTGTTGGCATCTTGGGTTGGTGTGTAACCAGGATATACATGACCCACTTTTGCCTGCTGTTGGGGCCATTCATCTCCAGTATTTTAGCCACTTTTCAAACTCACCTTGACCAGATGGTGCACTTGAGAGACCCAATCAAGACTCCTGATTTGGCCCTCTGGAGCTGTGGTACAGTAACTGAAACAGAAAGAATATGCCATTTTCTTCCTTTGAACCCCACAACAGTGACTAGTGTGTGTGTGTGAACTGGCCCTTTTGAGCCAAAAGGTTCAGAAACTTAATTGTTGCTTGGGCTATTTGTAATAAAGTCAGCATTAGAAGAAATGCTAAAGAAAACCTTGTTTGGGAAAAAAGAATCAAATTGAGAATTTGTCACTTGTTTTAGGTTCTAGTACTAGTAGCATCTGTAGGTGGATCTTAATTAACACTAACTTGAATAGAACTTCCTGGGTAATCCAGGGGTAATAAAGGGGATAGAGTGGAATGTGATACTGAATTACTGAATTCCAACTTGAATGCAACTAGAAAGTCTTAGCGAGCAAACCACTCAAGTGAACTGCTAGGACTGGGCATACAGTAGGCTATGCTGGAGTGTCTCATAGGAATGGAAAATTGGTAATGGCATCTATGTGTGTGTATACATACATGTATGCACATATATAAATACATGCATGCACACCTGCACACATACATGCATACATTTGGCTTTAGCCTAGGTTAAATTTAGGTCTTTGTATCCTAATGTTGGGTTTCAAATGCTATAACCAATGTTGACTATTCATCTTCAGTTCAGTGGTTTTTTTTTTCTTTTAATAACTAAAGTATTAAAAGACTCCGTAGGCTGAAATTTCATTGGCCAGTTTGGAGACTGTTACCTATTTTCTAATTTCTCTCAGGGTGGGTGGGTATGTGGGGACTTGAACACAAGGAGAAGCCAGACTCCTTATGGCTACTAATTGTATTTGGGGAAAAAAATATAAATCTAAATTAATTTGAATTCTCAGAACTGACCTGGCCTTTAACCTAGGATACAGGTGAATTTGTTTTCTAAATTTCTTGCACTTTTGAACACTCTTCTGAAAGGCGGTAACCTGAAAGACCAGTTGACCTCACTTGCTATAGGATTTAGCTATAAGTCTTTTACCTTGCAGTAAATGACTTAAAACTAATATGATTTCACAACTGTTTTGATCAATGCAAGGCAGTAAGGAGAGTTAATTGTACACTGACTGCCAGCTGTTTTGAGGTGAAGATGTGGTAACTCATATTGAAACAATGGTAATTACGTGGTAACTCCTATTTCCCCAGCTCTTGATAACTTACAATTACCTCTTTGTGTCTATTTACAGATGTGGATACCAGTGAACCAACATGTGTTCTTCTTAAATATTGGGACAATGTTCTGAAGCTCTTTGCCCAATGAATCAGGCTGTTTGAGTTAGTTTCTCTCACTTCAAATCTAGTGTTATTAGTTCTTGTGTCTGTTTTCTAGATGGGTCTATTTCTAGAGGGTCTATTTTAGGGGAACAAGGATATTACCACAGCACCTAACTTATCTCATTAATGAATGATTAAAAAATAGAACTTGATGTTGTAATTTAGTGAGCTAATGAGAAAAAAGGTTGGAAGTGACTTAGACTTTTAATTCTTTGAAGCTGTGATCTGCTGAAAGGAGAAAAATGCCAGACCATCTTCTTTAGGTATGTGCAAACGAAACCTTATTTAAATACTGTACTTCAGATTAGGGAAGCTCAGTGAGTCATTTTTGAGGTGATGATTACCTGTGTCTGTATCCTGATACCAGGGAAAGGCAGACACACGTGTTGATGACTCTCTGGAACGCCTTGCTCAGGAGTGTTCTTTGAGCTGTGCTGTGTTGGGTTTCAGGGTGTATTGCAGAATGGAAACTTAGATTGTATGGCATTGGTAGGTGTCATCTGTGTCCCTTTTATGCTCAGCTCTGCTGGAGGGCTCAGCCAAAGGATCTGGGGATTGGAAATAATTCCATCAGGAAGGCCTGTGAGTCCATACCAGGTCTTATGAGTGAAGACCTGGAAGAACACCACTGTCAGACTAGGTGACATTGTGTTGGAAAGCCTTACCCCTTTATATTATCAGGTTTTCTCTCTATTACTACAGCAGAGTATGGTTATAGCTTTTAGCCTGGTAGGTTGATAAAGGTTTTGGACTTTATGCAATGTTTTTCCCTAGAGTGGGTTGGTGTGTGTCCTATAATTTTGATTCTGAATAAGACAAGTCTTAAAATTTACTCTGTTGAATGCAGTTAAT